TCCCGGCCCGTCTCCCAGCCGACGGAGCCCGGCTGCTTCTCCTTCCACCAGGAAACGTGCGCCCGCACCCCTCCCAGGCTGGGGAGGGGCCCCTAGCCCCCCGGCCCCGCCACCACCCGCCGCTGCTGCTGCCGCGCAGTGAACATATCCTGTCGGAAACTTTACAGCGAAGGTGAGAGCTGACACTAAAGAGAAAAAACCACAAAGCAACTGCAAGTACAGGATCCTCTTACAATTCCCACTCCGGTCCTGGAGCCCAGGCTCAGTGGGGGAGTGCGCCCTTCCAGGGAGTGGACCAAACACGAAAGTTTGCTTTTCCACACTTAATCATTTTTCTGAATTCCAAGGAGGGGGGAGAAAAGGGTTTTTTTTTTCCCTATTTTTTTTCCCTGTCCCACCATTGCCAGGGCGACTCAAGCCCTGGCCCAACTGCTCAGAGGGAAGGACCCCAGGGGAGCCAACCCCACTTCGGGCCGCAGCCCTGACGTGCGCGGCGGGGACCGGCCCGGGGAGGAGGCCTCCCGAGCGAGCAGAGACAAAGAAGCACGTTCTAGGATGACCCGGTGTGAGTGCACACATACGTCATCCCCACCCCCTGCACTCACACCCACCCTCACACTGGCCTGTGCGTAACAACCGCCACCGTGCAGGGCCCGGGCACCGGCTCAGGTCCCCACACAGGGCGGTGAGCCACGGGGGCAACCCCGCCTGGGTCTCGGGTCTTCGCCTTCTCCCGCCGGATCAGCCGCCCCCGTGCTCCGGTGCGTCCTCCCAGCTCCGTCCGCAGCCTCGCTGGGCGTCGGCCCTGGGTCCGCCCTCGGCTTCTGCCCTAAACGCTCACTGTCGGCTCACCGCGCTCCAGGTGGCCGGCCCCTGCCCCGCCTCTGGTCTTCCTCGCCTCGGCCGTGTCCGCCCCACCCACCCCAGCTCCGGCCCTCGGGACTCACGGGCAGGGGCCACCTCCAGCTCCGGCCACAGCCCCTCCTCTCGGAGTGGGACACGCTCCCCCAGGCCTGGGTGGCCCCCACAGCATTCGAGGGCTCCAGGGTCCTCACTCAGCGTCAGGACTCGGAACCCGCGAGGCCACGGGCGGGCAAGGCGGGAAGGGGCAAACCTCAGGACGCTCCCCAGAAGGAGAAGTGTGCGGGTTGGCGGATGAAGGCAGAGCGTCACGCTCGTCTGTCCTTGGTACGCCAGCGCCGACCTCATCCGTCCACAGGCCGCCTGTCCGAGCCCAAGGGCTGCCAGGACAGACCTCGGTGGCGTCCCCCGCCCCCCCCCACCGGCACAGGCGGGCAGAGCCGCGGCGGGTGCCGGGCTGGGAGGCCTCCGAGTACACCTCGGCTCCAGGCAGTTTCACACACAACCACTTCTGAGAGGCGAGATTCTCTCGTTTTTAAAGAGACCACTTCAGAAGACCAAGCTTCCAAGTCGAGCCCAGGCCGCCCCGGGGGCTGGCCCGGGGGGCTGGCGCCACGGACAGGCTGCCCTGGGGGCTTCGCTGCCTCCCGGTCAGACCTGGAAGGGGAGGGGGCCTGGGGGGGGGTAGGCGGGACCCGGCCCTGTGTCTCCGACACTGGTGTTCCCATGTGTCTTTGTTTGTCCCCTTAACCCAGGTGACCTAGTGTCCACGGCCCTATCCATGTGCCTTCCACAGCGGGGGGAGAACGGCGGTGGGACACCAGTGTTTCCCCTCCCGTGGGCGGGCAGCCCGCCCCCCAGGGTGGCCGCCACCGCCCCTCCTCGGCCGGCTGACCTCCACCCCGTCCCGCCGGCGTGTGCACAGCCACGGCTGTTCCGGCGGGGATGAGCTCCGAGCCGTTCCAAGGCACCGGGTCCCTTCCTCGGACAGACGCCTGCCTGGGGGCCGAGGCTGTGCCCCCCCACCCGCCGGGCCCTGCGCTGTCTCTCCCGATGTTGGCGCAGGAAGAGGGGGCGCCCCGGGCTTCCACTGGGCCTGGGGGGCCGGCTCTGCGGCTCCCTCTCAGACTGGCCTCCTGCTCAGGCACTCCTTCCCTCCTTCCCGGCGTGTTCGGGTTGCTGATCCTACGGGTCGGTCGCTTTCACAACACGCGAGCAACCCTCCTCCGTCCTCGGCGCGGCCCCCACGGCCTGGCCTCTGGCCTCCTTCCCCCCCCGGAACGCCACGGCGCCTCGCCCCTCGCCCACATGGTCTGCTCTGCTCTGCGTGAGCCACCCTCCCTCCCGCTCCGTCTCTGTGCCTCTCGCCCCGTCTCTGTGCTTCTCTGCCCTCGTCCGAGCCGGTCTTCTCTCCTCTCTGACCCCTGACACCACGCGGCGGGGCGTGTGCTGTTGCTATTGCCACTTGACAGCGAGGAAACTGAGGCTCAGAGAGGAGCAGCCAGACAGGGGCTTGGGCCCGGCCTGCAGCCTGAGGGGCCCGTGTCGGGCTCCGCCAGGCCCCCCCCAACCCCCCCCCACACACACATCCTCCCCAGCCCCACTGCTCCCCAGAGCGCAGGGCGGGCGCCCCACTTCCTGCGCCGTCCCCTGACGCTCCTGGGCCTGCCGCCTTCTTCCCAGGGGTCGAGAAAGGCTTCCTCCTTCCGCGTGCCAACGCCCCCCGTCTTTTCGGGCTGTCTCGGACACCCTCCACGCACCCAGCGTGCTTCCCACGCCGCAGCACGAACTTAAAGTGCAGCCAACGGCCACGCACACCCGGGCCGACCCCCGTCCACGCTCCCGAGGGACGGTTTCCGACACTCCGCCGTCGGCGCGTCCCGATCCGGTGGGCGGGGCCTCGCCCGCACTGACTCCTGTCCTGACACCCGTCCCCTGGCGAGTGGCCCGGTGCCCCCTGCGCTTCTCTGTGGGGCGGCCCTCCCACCGAGCCCCACGGTGGCCCCGTGGACCCCGCCCCCACTCGAGCCTCTGCCCCGAGGCCGTGCACCGGAGCCCACGTGGACGGCGGCAGGAGCCAACAGAGGTTTTCTAGGCGCTTCAGGTTTTATGCGGTGAGACCCCCCGTTTACAAGCTTGATCGCGAAAGGAGAAGGAGAGTGAACATCGTCATGTTGCCCGGGGCCGGGGTGATCACGGGCGATCACAGACCAGCCCCCACCCCACAGCCACACCCACGTGGGGGCGTGTGCCCCTGCCGCTGTGTCCCCCACCCAGAGGACTCAGTCTGGGAGCCAGCAGGAACACCCACCAGGGGCAAATTGCCCACCCTTTGACGTCCACACAGGCAATACATTCAGAGTAGTGCCACGGAGGTATTGCTGACAGGCCTGGTCACCCACCCCGGCACCCCTGGGCGCTGCCCCCCACTCCCAGGAGCCAGCCTGGCCTTCAGCTCCCGTGGGGGTGCCACAGCTACTCTGGCTTCCCGGCTGCAGGGGACTGCAGGGACAGGTCCCCGGTCTCTCCGTACGGGCCCCCAGAGGCCTAGCTCTGGCGTCTGGGTGCTCAGCTCCTTGCGAAGGTTAGTGGGTGCATGCCCCCACAATTCCCTCAGCCCCCGGTCCCGGCACCCCTCTCTCCACGCCCCGGGTAGGTTGCGAGCACGTTTCCCGACGTGACAAGGGCAGAGAGCAGGACCCCCCCGCCGGCTCACTCCAGACCCCCGGCAGACGAGGCTGCCCCAGCACCAGCTACGCACAGCCACCCGTGCCCGTCTGTGCCGTATCGACGGCGTAGCGTCACCTCGGTTTGTGTCTTGAAAGGAACCTTCGCAGCCGTATTGTGTGGGACCAACCAGCACCAGGTGGAATTAACAGAAGGTGATGTTGAAAATAAGCATGTCCCTTATAACACAGCACGCCGCCCGGCCTCCCCGCTGCGGGCACCCTGGGGTGGGGTGGGCGGCGCGGGGTGCAGGTCTCACAGGGGTTCCCAGACACACTCTCCCCGGCTCACCCACGACGGGTGACCTCGCTCACTGCCCTGATTAACCGTCCGACGAGGTAAGGAAAGGACGGCGGTACCCAGGTGCTCTCGGTTTCCAAGACACAGGAAGACGTGAGCCCTGTTGCTAGCTGTTCGGTCAGGACGCCCCCAAGAAGGCGTCTGTGCTGACCCCATAAACCAGAGCACGGACAGAGGTCGCCGCCCTGGCCTCTGGGGGGCTCACGCCTCAGCCCCGCCCGCCCGCAGGTCCCTTCTGCTTGCACTCTCCCTGGGGACCCTGCGTGACCTTCTCCTGGGCACACAAGTGCCCCCCCCCCCCCCCCCCGTATCACAGTTTTTCCCTCTAAAGGAGGAACACTCGGGCATTCCAAGAACTGTGGACCCACGCGCTGGTGAGGACGCAGCACAAGGGAGCAGAAGACAGGCTTCGAGACGGAAACTGAGCCCTGTTTGAGGCCGCTACTGGGGGCTTGGGGTCAGCTAATCCACTGGACCTCGGGGTCGCTCTCCTGGGCCCGAGAGGGTGGGCGGGGTTTGCTGAGCCTGAGCCGCGGTGCGCACCAGCTCACAGCTCGCCGCGGAGAGACCGGGGTCCGGCCGTGTCCAGGGGCATGGGGAGGGGTGCCAGCTGCGATCGGCTGGGCTTACGTTTATCGCTCAAGGGACTCTAGGCACCAGACTTTCTTTTCCCAGTTACACTGAACCTTGAAGAAGCAGAGGTGAGAGGGACCGCGTGAAAATGGCCAGCTTTGGTCTTTTGAACCCAGAGCCCCGAAAATACATGGCCCTGGTGCCACGGTACCAGAAACACATCTTTTGCGCTGCGTACAGTCCATGAAACTGGACATTCGCTCGGTGCATGGGGGACAGAAGACACTGCCGGGGACGTGTCCCCCCACGTGGGCTGCCCCCAACTCTCACGGCCACGGTGACCGTGAGCTTCTCCCCTCCCTCCGACAAGAGGGCCCACCCGTCTCCCTTCTGTCCCCCTAGTGTGGTGGCCAAGGGGGCACGGCAGAGGGAACGGCCCCCGTCCCCGCTTCACGGCCTGTGGAAGGAGGGTCAGAGAGACACCGGGCTCTCGGGAACCCTGGGGTGCCAGCCAGCCGGCCAGCGGGCGGCCTACTCACCGACTCCTCGCTCGGCCCTGGCGCTCTGCTGGCCGCCGGACGTGGTGGACAGGTCCTCGGGGACCGGCATGGGCTCGTCGCCGTCGTCCGGGGCGTCGCTCACGGGCGGGCTTTCCTTCCCTGGGGAGAGAGGCGGGAGCGTGGGTTTCAGGGAGGCGTGGTCCCCAGGACAAGCCGGCCGGGAAGACAGCCCAGGGCGGCGCCTGGGCCTCACCTGGTCTCCAGAGGGGGATGCGGAGCAGAAATACATACATCATTGGCGGTGTAGGAGACGGCCACTGCCGTAGCCATGCGGTGTGTGTGCATGCGTGTGTGTGTGCATGTGCATGTGTGTGCACACCCCTACGTGTCTGTACATCACAGATCACATGGGGTGAGCGTGATGTCCACACCACACGGGCACACAAGGGCCGGCCGACCTCCTTCTCCTGTTTGTGACCTTGGACGACGGTTCTCGATTTCTTTAATAATGTGACACCGGAGCAGACACCCTCCTCACATGACCCCGATAATCCGGAGCCTGACCCCCCTGGGGCCCGAGGCCCGGTCCAGCGGCAGCGGCCCCCTTCAGGCCGCCGGTCCTCCTGCAGCCCGTCTGGCGGACCCGCCTGCCAGCCCGCGCCACCGCCGCTCACCTGGTTTGGTTCCGAGGTCGCCAGAAGCGGGGCGGTGGGGGGGGGGGTCCCGGCCCAGAGCTACAGACCCCGGGTCTGTTCGCTTTGCGGCCGGGGAGTGTTTCGGAGGCTGGCTGACCTGACTCAGCCCGGTGGGGAAGGGAGGCTGGGGAAGGGAAGGGGCGGGGGGCCCCACACCGCGGGCTGGGAGTTCCTGCTGCTGGCGCGTGCGGGATTCTGCCGGTGGGACCCTCGCCTTTGACACGCGAGTGCTCGGTGCGGTCCCCACAGCGGGTGCCCCGGGGGGGGGAGGGCTTTGCTGGGTGCCCGCGTGGATGCCGCATTAGAGCGAAGTCCTGCCAGAGGCTCCGGCCTGGGGAGACCCTGGCCGGCAGGAAACGCTCTTTCTCCTTCAAAACGCAAATCCCCTGTGTCCTCTCGCCGCCCGGAAATAACTGAACACGGAGTTGGGGGACACAGGCCACAGGCCAGGGACAGCAGTGGGGCCCTGAGCTGACGGGGGGGGGCCTCCAGGGAGAAGGCCGGGGGGACACGGCTACCCTCCGCCCCCCAAGGTGCGTGGGAAAGCGGCGGACGGGGGTGGCGTGTGTGCAGGGGGCTGGTGACGAGGCTCCGTGGCTCCCTGGGCAGGGCAGGGCAGGGCAGGGCAGGAGGGACGTGCCCAGGACACCCGGCTACGGGGAGGGTGCCGTTCTCCTGTTTGTCCGACACTCCAGAGGACGGGCGGCGAGACAAGAGCAAGTGCCCCCACCCCCACCCTGAGAGACGGCCGTCCCGGGACACCTCGGGGGAGAGCCCGCCCGGCACCGAGTGGCAGGCCCTCTCCAGGAAGCGGACGCACCGTTTCTCGCCCAGCCTGGCTGGGGTTCCGGGACCGGCCTGTCTCCCGACGGGGCATCACGGGGACGTTTGGAGAGCCAGGACGAGAGGAATGGGTCAAGGGGGCACAGTTACGGGGGTTCCCCAGGGGAGACAGAGGCCGGGGGCGGCGACCCAAAGGGCCGGCGGGACACTGCAGCCGCAAGAGTGTGCGTTGCCCCGTTCTAACGTCTCCCCCGCCCGCACAGCGGACTCTCTCTAGAGCATCAGGTGCCAAACGCCCGCGCTGCCGTCACCCGCTTCTCAGCAGGACAAGCCCCGCCTGTGAGAGCACGTGCAGGCGGCGGACGCACCGTCCGACCGCCGTCTCGCACGACGGAGCGTCCGGAGTCACGGATTTCGGACGCCGAGGGCTTCAGGAAGCTGCCCAGAGAGACATCCCGTTGTGCTTTTTCGGTGAGCATCGCCTCACACGTGACGTCTCTCTGGTAACTTGGAGAAAATGAAGAGCGAGCTTTCACAGGACGGCAGGAGGTAAGGCCAGTCTTTCACGGCACGTGGGGACCCTGGAGGGCAGGGAGGCCGGGAGGCCAGAGCCCCAGGCCGCCCGCTTTCTCGGAGACGCCCTGCGGACCCCCCCCTCCACCCCCGCGGAGCTGGGAGCAGAGGCCCCTGGTCTCGCAAACTGACCGACGGTCAAACACGCGTCGCTGAGTGTGGGGTGTGCGGGGGCGTCTCGGGACTGACCAGCTGTCGTTCTCGGAACGTGGGGCTGGGGGAGGTTGAGAGACTGAACTTGAGGACCCCATTGTCTCAGTGTGGTCCCCCCGTGGTGACGGGGGGGCATCCCATGAAACCCTGGGGCCCGTCCGAGGCCGGGGCCGGGGCCGGGGTCGGGCGGGGGGGGGGGCAAGGCATCGGGACCCACCCGGGGAAGCCATGCTGTCTCTGCTCAGCTCACGCTGACTAGCGTATGTCCGAGTGACTCCCGGTGGCCTTAAAAACACTTAGCCGACCGGTTTATTGGGGGACAAGACCAACCCCTACCCACTGAGGACGCCGGGGCGGCTCCGGCAGGGAGGACATGGCCAGTGCCCCTCGCACTGGGCCGGCATCGGGGAGGGAAGGGCTGACGACTCTGAAACACTGGGGCCCAGGCGGGCCAGTAGGAGCCCACCCCCCTGCCCCCAGCCATGCTGGGACCTAGAGCAGGGGAGGAAACCTGAGCCCCCAGCCCGGAGGCCCCACCCACACGGCAGGACCCGAGGAGAGCGGCGCTGGAGCGCTTCCCTTGTGGGCCGAGCTCTGCTGGGGGTCAGCCTGGCCTGGCCTTCGCTCCGTGACCGTGACCCCGTGACCATGACCGCCGTGCGGGGCTCAGCTGATCTGCCCCCAGGCCCCAGAGTCTGGGCGGCGTCTGCTGAGGCCTGCGTCATGCACAGCAGCAGCCGGAGGCCTCCACGCAGGCCCCGGGCCTGGTCCTGCAAACCTCCGTGAGGGGTGCACGGTGGGTCCCCAACAAACGGGCCCAGTTTACCAGGTAAAGCCAGAAACCGAGAAACGGGTGTGCAAGGCACGGAGAGGAGGCCGTTCAACCGAGGGCTCACATCCCAGAGGTCGGCGCACGGTGACTGGGCATGCGTTGCCCCGGACGGAGCTCGGGTCTGGCCGGGTCTGAGACTGATGGGACCCCGGAGTGAGCCACCTCTTCAAGACTGTGCCACGAGTGAACCGAGGCACAAAAACAAAACAAAACAAAAAACCCACGATTTCGGCTTAGCTCACAGGGCTGTTGTGAGGGTGAAACAACAACAATGCGTGTGAATGCTAAGGTGCTGTCTGAGCACGGGAGGTTGTTTGGAAACTGTAACGGTGGAAACACCAGGTGTGTGTGGCACCAAGCCCCACACGTCCCCTGAGTGACATGTGACACACACACACGCACACACACACACACACACACCCCTGCGGGCAGCGGGGAATCAGGCCCGGACGGGGCGTGACGGAGGAGGTGCGGTGTAACTCCACTCACTCAGACAAACGAGCCACCCTCCTTACCGGGTTACATTCCACTCACCTGCTGCCAGGTTTCAGATAAAGCGTCACCTCTAAGAAGTGTGCGGGGACAAATTGGGCGAGCACACTGCACAACTAGCGCCTCAGCCCCAAGCAAACCGTTTCTCAGGTAGGCCATGCGCCACCCACAGGGTTCTACGGCTGCCGGTCTCCCAAACGCCTGCGCTTCCATTGCGTGCGATTGCCCCACTGCACGTGGTTCCCGGGGGGCCGTGGTTCCCGGGGGGCCGTGGGACTCTCGGCCCTGCAGCAGCAGGGAGAGGCTCACCCCCGGGTGGGGCTGGCTCCCGGCGGGGGGGGGCAACCCTCGGGCGGTCCTTGACTCGGGTCTCCAAGCCTCGGCTCCCACAGGCTGACGATGCAGCCAGGCCCCCCTCTCGCTGGGCTCCGGGGAGGGGAACCGGCAACAATGCCCGGCCTGGCAGTGTCTGGCCGCCACCCAGTCGGTGTGGCCCCCTGCGATGGACTTTCCTGCTGTCGCCTCCGAGGCCTGAGGGGCCTCGTCTCCCAGAGGAGCAGGCTGTCTGTGGGCACAGGGCCGGCTGCTCGCCCCCACGTCCCGGCAGACCTCACAGATGCCGCTGAGAAGACACCCAGTGTCGCTCCAGGGCCGCGGGGGCCAGCGGGGGCGGAGGGCCTGGCGCACGTCTCGTCCGGTGGTTTGCGAGGACGGGACAGTGCCCCAGGAGGCGGCGGGGACGACCGTCCCGGGTCCCGCAGGCAGTCGGGGGAAGAAGGGGGCTCAGGGAGGGCTGCCGGTGCCCAGGCCCCTCTCCTCCCGCAGGCTGGCCCGCCCCCCGCCCTCCGGGACCAAAGCAAAATGATGCGCGTGCCCGAAAGAGTCCTGCGGGAGGGCGGCCGCAGAGGAGGGGGAGACGGGCCTTCCGGAGGGAGGGAGCGAACGAGGTGTTCCCTAAAGCAGGGGGGCAGTGCGTGTGTGGGGGGGCTCTCCTCCGGGCATGTGCAACAGCCTTGCCTCGAACTCGGGGGCACGGGCTGAGCATGCAGCCCACAGCCAGGGCGCACCCCGGGGAAGGGAGAGCCGGGTGGTCTGAAAAGACTCAGATACTAAGTCTTTCTCCATCTTTCATGTATTTTACAGACACTAGGTTGCCGCCTAAGAAACTGCTGATGTCGGAATATTGTCTCTCCTATGAAAGTGGAAGTGTTACAGGGTGCCACTTAGAACAATCTGCGTTGTCCCCCCCTCCCCCCGCCCCCGTGGACAGAACATAACACGGAATGATTTTATGGGACCAGACGATAGTTCTGTAACGTATCCCTGAGATTTCAGACCAGGGTGTCCACTCCTGTTTGGCCACATACACATGCAGTTCCCTCACCACCTGCCGCTTCCCTCGACCTCAGGCACGAAGAAAAGGGGGTGTCGGCTTCAGGTGGAGGAGCAGCGAGAAGGGGAAAGAGCACCTTCCGATCTCCAGTGAAAAGGCCGCGCCGGGCGGGTGCCGTGCGGGATGCTCCAGGGCGGCACAGGCCCGAGTGCGTGAGCGTTTTGTGAGGAGCGCCTCCGCCGCTGGGCGAGCACTAGCTGGGCTTCAGGACGGACCTCTCCCCCTCCCCCCAAGAACCCCCCTTTCGGGGCAGTCCTGTGTCAGGAGGTGCCCCCTCCCGGAGACCCTCCCCTTTAAGCAGCCGGAGCCCGGGACAAATGGAGTATAAGCGTAACGTTCAGGGCAAGAAGAAAAGGACGCTTTTGCTGTTTTTGTTGCCAAGATGAGATCGAATGCATGCATGGCGGCGGAGCTGCCGCCGGGGCTGGGGCTCCAGCCCGCGCTCGGGGCCCTGCGAGAAGTGGGGGTCCCCTCCCCTTCAGACGCCTTGCCGACCCCGCCCTCCCGTGCAGAGGCCATCCGAGGTCAGGGGAGGACCGGAGTCAGGAAGCAAGCCCAGAGGAAGAGTCTCTTTCTCCCCAGGATTTCTCTCCTTAACGGGCTGTTTCTCGGGCGTTCCTGCGGCCCCCGGCCCCAGGCCGCGCTGGGGGAGGGCCCCCAAGCCTCCCGCACCCCGTCGCCCGGGGGGCTTCCCAGCCAACGCTGTTTGTCGTCACGGGCGGAGTGCCGGCTGCGCTGGCTCCGGCTCCGGCTCCGCTCAGGACACTGGGTCCGCGCTCGCGGGAAGGACACTCGGAGGGCGTTGCACGGTGGGGGGGGGTGCGGGGAGCGGAGTCTCCGCACGCTCCCGCCCCAGCCCAGCCCTGCCTCCCGTCCCCGGACTTCCACGGGGGGGCCCGGAGCCAGCACACCCCCTCAGCACTTGCCTAAGTGTGTGCGGGTGGGTGCGTGTGGGTGCACAACTGTACGTGTTCATACCTGTGTGTGCGTGTGTGCACGGCTTGTTTTCACGTGCAGGACCCGGGTCAGGCAGGCACGCTCTTTCGTGTCTGCACGTGCCCGGCTGCCTTTCCTGGGGACACTGCGCCGTCACCCGCACACCAGTCGCAGTGACGCGTGTCTGCACGAACCCTCTGTGCCCTCGGGACAGTGTAGCTCTCGGGTGCAGCCCTCCACCCGCTCTCGTTCGCCACGACCGGGCCACGCGTGCCGACCAGTTCTCACTCCCGCCGGCTGCTGCCCGCGCTTCCCGGGCCCACAGGCCACGGGGCTGGCAACGCCAGCTCCTGGCTCCTGCTCTGCAGCGCAGAGTTGACGCCCGGACGCTGCGCGTGGCCGGAGCAGCCTCGTGGAGGAGGAGGAGGAGGAGGAGGAGGAGGAGGAGGAGGGGCCCTCTGTGGTCAGTGGCAGGTGGGCAGGACTCGAGTCTCCTGGCCGGCACGTCTGAGCGCGGCCACCGGGCAGGCAGCAGCCGGCCGCCTCGGGCCTGGGCTCCGTCACGGGGCTGACTCAGACCAGGAGGCGGAATCCCACGGGACCTTGGGCGCCAGCGGGGCCAGGCCAGCCAAGCCCAGAGGAGGACGACAGGCCGCTGTCCCGTGGAGCCCGCCCTGGGTGGGCCGGGAGTCGGAGGGGCTCTGGCGCATGAGAAGCGGAAGCCCGCAGAGGCCGCCTTCGCCGTGGGCCCCCGGCGCGGCGCAGACAGAAGGTGGGCTTCCTCGCCTGGGGGCGGCGTAGGGTCGAGTGGGCTGGGCTGGTGTCACCCAGCGGGTGGGACAGTCTGTGGCCCCCCCTCGGGCCTCACTTCCCAGGGCTCACTGCCCGCTTCCTGGGCCCCTGTGATGAGAGGCTGCGGCCGCTACGGCTTGAAGCGAGGCCCACTCACAGTGCGGGGCGGGGGGAGGGAGCCAGGCCGTGTCCACGCTCAGCAGAGACCCCGGTTTGCGCCCTCCAGCTGTTTTCCAGGCTACTGGCTCCTCCCCCTCCCTCTCTCTCTCTCTCTCTCTGTGCCCCCCTCCCCCACCATATCCCGCTTCCTCTCTCTCAGACAAGGTGGTGGGCACGTGTTTAGGGTCTAGAGAAGATCAGTCAGCAGCCACTCCACCCCCAGAATACCCAGGTGTGGTTAAGTCCTTCCCAAGTCGCCTCAGATGTCACAGAAACACTAAGTGTGACTCCGACACCTTCCTGCCCAGCTTCTCCAGCGGGGGCGGCCTCTGGGGGCTGGCACTAAACACGGACATGAATTCCATCTGGGCTTGTCCTTTTGCACAGCAGACCCTCCCCTCCCCCCGGAACAGGACCGTGACCTCCGCACCCGGTGTGGGGTTGTGGTGGGTGGGGGGCGGGGCTGGTCCTCACGGAGCCCCGGACAGGACCTCACGAGGGTCTCACCTGAGACTTGGGACATGTCTTGACTCTCATCGCCATCCATTGCCGTCAGGTCACCTGGGAAAGAGAGGAAGGCACTTTAGTTCAGAGCGAGTCCCAGGGGGATACGGGAGCGCGCGCCCGAGATAGCGCAGCACCGCGTACTTGACAACGAGATTATCTGCCCAGAAGAATGCCTGAGCTCCGGCACGCTCGCGCTGGGCAGCACGCCGGCACAGACCCCGATCCCCGCGGAAACGGCATTACAAAGATTTATAAAAATATCATTACCGGCTCAGGGAGACCAAATTTGTTATTTATTGTTAATTTCCTGCTGCATAATAACCCAAAATGCAAACTGACTGCAACAAAATTAAGCAGAAAATTAAATGGCCCCGGGTCATTGTAGGCACAGAACTCATTCTCTCGGCTGATCCGCGGTTATGTTCTTTCTGATTTACTGAGCACGCATCGATGAACCTTGAGTCAGCTTGGTGACACGCGCACAATCAGCAATCAGAAAAAACGAAGCAATTTGCTGAAGAATGTCTCATTTGCCCAGGCATATCTGAGCAGCCGGCACACGCTGCCCGTCAATAATGAATGCGCCTCCCGCCTGGCAGATGGGCCGGGCGGACACTTCCGTCCCCGTCTCCGTCCCCGTCTCCGTCCCCACGCTCGCCGGGCCCTCGCCTCGGGCCCCGCCGCGCTCCCGCGCGGGGAGAAGTGAAGCCACCACGGCAGCAGACCGGGGCCGGGAGAGGGCCCGAGCCTTCCTGTTTTGCTGGCAGACGGCTGGTTTAAAAAGAGAAAAGCGACCAGGAAGAGCCGCCGCTGCCCCGCCGGCCACCCCGGCACCGGGGGACACCAGGCAGGGGCCGGCGTCTGTGGGCAGGAGGGCAGGGCATGCTGTGCGCGGTGCTCGGGGTCCTGGCCTGCCCCTGGCCGGTCTCGGGTGGCCCTGGCCGACGGCGGCCAAAGGGGACCTCGGCAATGCTGCTCCCCTCTGCTCCGCTGGACGACCGAGGGGAGAGACCTCTCTCTAGCCAGCCGGCCGGCCGGGGCGGGCTCTTGCATCTACGTCACGTCACTATTTTCTGGGGGGCCAGGGGTGGGGGAATCTGTGGGTCTGCGCTGCGTGGCCTGTCCCAGGAGAGAGCTGGACACAGGCAGCGGGTTCAGGGCGCCTCACCCCTCCCCCAGGCCGGGCTGACGACCTGCAGGCCGAGGCCACGTGCATATGTTCACGGAGCATGTGGAACACACGCGTGTCCCAGCTGCACGCGTGCCCACACCGGTCACGAGGCCGAGAGTGCCCGTCACTCTCCCGGGATGGGGAGGGGTTTCACCTCGCTGTGAGCGCCCCCGAGGGCGTCTGACGAGGTGCTGCACCGGTTTCCAAGGCCGCCGCCGGGCTGGGGGCGCAGCTGGGGACCACCAAGTGCAGGGGCCCCCGGCTCCCAAGCGCCGCAGCCCCGGGCGGAGGGGCCGGGAGCCACCGAGGGCAGACCCGCCAGCCCCGGGCGCAAACAGGAAGCAGCCTGGGGTCACCAGAGCAGCCACACGCACTGACTGTAAACGAGCACAACTCGGTGCTCCTTCCGAAACTGTCTAAACAATTATAAAGAAACCAGACAGACCTGAAAGAGGAAAAAGCTCGGTCGTTACTGTGCGGCGGGGACTCGGGGCTCGGCTTTCTGAGGACCCGTGGGTGCAGCGCGTCACCGCCCGGCTCTGAACCGTCCCTGAGAGGACGGGCGGGATGCGCCGCGGACCCAGTCTCCGAACGACAGACGCCGCTGGGACACAGCAAGGCGGCAGCGCCGACCCCCAGCTGTCCACCCTGCTCACGCGTGGGCCCACCACACCTTCGCCTCGCGTCCCTGCCCTGCCCTGCCCGCTGTCGGCCGAGATCCCACCGATGCCCCGCGGCAGGCTCCTTGTTTCCAACGAAGAGGAAAAACGTCTCCTAAGGCCCAGTGGGCGGCTCCCCACCTATGCCCGCGGCCAGAGCACGCACCCTGCCTGCCTGCCCTTGGGGGGCCCTCTGAGTTTGCTGCCGGGGCGGGACCCCCACTCATACCGAGCTCCACACTGAGGTCCCCCTGGAGCACTGGCCCGTCCAGGCGGATGGACCGGAGGGCGCGCCCCGAGGGAGGAAACTGCAGCCCTGAGCGTGTGGCCGACGGCCAGTCGGGCTCCCGCTCTGGTGTCCCACAGGTCCCCAGGGCTCCCTCCTGGGAGGGCCCAGCCTCGGCACGGTCTGCGCACCGGGACTGGGGGGTGCTACCAGCCGACCACACGCAGCAGGCCGTCCCCAAGTTCACTGAATGTGCACCCGCGCACGCGTGCACACGTGTGTGTGCACACACAGGTGGAACTCGCACATACTTCTGCCCGCTCTCCGCCAGCCCTGCTCGGGCACCTCACCGTCCCCGGGCCAGCGGCCCGGCGGGCCTGGGGCCATGCAGAGACCACCTCCTTGCTTGGACTCCCGCTGGCCGCCCCCACCGTCTAGACATCTATCCGGGGTGACCAGGGTCAGTGCACAGGGTCCCCTCTGCACCGGGCCCCTCCTGCCTGACGTCACGCAGTGCAGTGGGCGCCTGCACAGGCCCCCTCGGGCTTCCCCAGACTCCTGGTTTGCATCTCTTGGGATGGAGCAAAGAGTGGCTTTTGGTGACATTGACTTTGCTTTTAGGCAAAGACCGGAGGGCTGATCCCAGAGAGGGAACTATCTGAGGGAGAGGGCATTCGTCCCGTCTGTGACTGAGGGGCGTCCCTGTGCTCTCGGTGGGGGGGAGGGGCAGGGAGACCCCCGCACCCCGGGAGGGAGCTCGGGCACCACCCAGCTCTGCACCTCCGCAGCCCCTGCTCCCGAGTGGAAGCAGGGCCGGCGTCCCTGAGGAGCCAGAGCTCCCGCTCTTCGCGCTCTCAGCTGTGGAGGGGGGCCCACTCTGAAAGGGGGGCTCGCCCCCTAAACGGGTCGACACCTGATCTTTGCTGACCCTCTCCTGCCCGAAAACCAGGCCGAGCAGGCCGGTGAAGCGGGCGCCAGAGGGAGCCACGTGGCGGTTCTGTCCCCTGCGGGGAAGCCGGGGCCGCGGCAGGCGGGAGCCCGAGCTCCGCACAGCGGAGGGCAGGGCCAGCACCACACACGCTGCGGCTGCCTCTGCGGGGCGAGCGGGGTGGACCGTGCGGCCGGGCACTCCGGGCCGAGGGGCCGAGGCGAGTGGGCGGAGGCGGTGTGTGGCCGTCCCCCAGGGAGGCGCCGCCTGCTGCCCCTGCCCGGCCCTCTGCTCCGCCGCACCCGGGGCGGTCGCCGATCTGGGAGTCTCTCTCCGGGTCTGCCCCCACCCTCCGTCTCCCCGTCTCGGCGTCTCTGTCCGGTCCTTCTGCCCGGAGGGGACCCAGCGGGACCTCCCTAGCTTCTGTCCCACAGGGCTGGCGTGTCGGTGACTTCGGAGAACGGGGACTGTGGAGGCTAAAGCAAAGGCCTGAAAGGCAGGAGCCAACGGGCCCCCAGGCCCTCTGCCCCCGCCCCCAGTGTCCAGACCAGGGACACTGGGAGCCTGGGACCCAGGCGGACCCTTCTGAGGAGCTTCCTCTGGGGACGGGGAGACTCTGCAAGCGTCTCCCCTGGCCTCGCCCGTCGGGAACGTCTCCGGGGGGAGCACCCTCCTGGCTGCCTGCAGGCAGCCGAGCGGCCCGGGAACAGCCCCAAGCGCCGGGGAGCCAGGGGGCCACAGTCAGGGGCAGGGCTGGGGCGCCCCTCAGACACCCCAAGTGCCCTCTGCGCCCCTCTAGTCTCCCCAGCAAACAGCTCTGACGTGCGGGCTCTTCCGGGACTCTGAGACAGCGGGTCCGGAGGCGTGAAGCTAAAAGACATCTGTCAGAAGCCCCAACCCGAGTCCTTCTCGGGCTGTCCGGATCCACGCCACTCGAGCACCGGACACCTGGCGTGGACGGTCAGCGGGCGTGGGAGCCCACCTGTCCACGGGCACGTGGCCCGGCTGCCGGCCCTGTGACCTCGGTTCCCTGAGGTTCTCACAACTACACTTTTTACCCCGAAAAACAAACGTCACGTACAGCTCGGTGACCACAGCCAGTAACCACGTGCAGCCCGTGGAGAGGTCGCTGCAAGAGTGAACCTAACGGTCCCATCACAGGAAAAGTGGGTTTGGTGACTTTGTGGGGTGACAGATGTTAAGTGGACTGGTCGCGGGGATCACCTTGCAACATGCAAAAAAATATATAACTGTCGAATGGTTACACTGTAGCCCTGACACTAGTATAATGTTACATGTCAACTATACTCCAATAAAAAGACAAAGAAGGCATGCGCACACACATACATGGACACATATACATGCATACACACCAACACGCCTGTGCACATGTACACATACATATATGTGCACACATGCACACACACTTGCAGGTGCTTCCCCTCCCCTGCACAGTTTAGGCAACTGTCTGCCCAATTATGTCTGACGGCACTTCTTGGGTGCCTTCTATATGCCAGAAAACCTGGTAAGGAAAAGGACACTGGACGTAGGCAGTGCTATTTAAGCACCCTACTACGCGCCTGGCATCTCACAGGGGAACTGCTGAGGCCCCAGAACGCTGTCTTCCCCAGCCACCGTTCTCTCTGGGCGTCTGGCACGGTGTCCGACGCAAGCCCAGCACCCCCACCCGTTGGCTCGGTGTGCGTGTGTGTTTGATCTAAAACCGTGTTGTTGTTGTTCGTGTGCACAGGCCATGTTACCATTTCCATTTTTCAGACAAGAAAACTGAGGCTAGGGCAGAAGTAGCCGGCCCCAGGGCACACTCCCAGTAGACAGCAGAGCTGAGATTTGAACCCACGACCACGCGAAGGTGACAGACACCTTTTCACTGTCCTGGTCCTGAGGGTCAGGACCTCTGAGCCCAGCACAGACACCCCGGAGCCCAAATGCATGACGTCACCGGGCCCTTAACGGCAAACAGGCATATACCTGCAATATCCTGCAATTAACACAAACTCCCTCCCCCCAACCAAACCTCTACGACACGTTTAAACCCTGGTCACTCGGCCC